ACATGGCTCTTTACGTGCTCTTAGTCATACTCTTACTCAATTGTTTTTGCTTCTCTCATTCATAGGAATTCTTTTTCAAGGGCTAGACCAGTTCGAATTTTTATCAGCTGTTGGACTTGAGCAACTATCTCGGTAATCGGACAATTGCAAGTAGATGAAACGTTCTGCACAGATAAAAGTTGTGAATGGAGACGTTATGCTTACGTGCTTACGAATGATGTCTTTTTTGGATAGATTTGTTCGGATTTTGTGATTGTGATTACTGGTTTTGCTGTTTAAACGAGAGCAATTCTATATTCAATATCTTTGCTCTAACAAATCTAAGCTTATAAAGTGAGTGATTGAGAGGAAGATGGACAATGTTTATAAGTAATCTGTCGCTTATTTAATAGGGAGTATAGTTAATCTAAAAAACTTCAATATTGAAGTATTTAAAGAAATCTCTTGTATTAGCTATGTTCCATCTCCTCTTTAGAATAGAGCGACATCTTTCAGTGTGTCAAGAGTTGAAAGAAGGCGGAATGACAGTAATCAGCATCGATGGAGGCCGAGGCAATGAAGCGGTGCGGGGCTTGGCAGATACATTAGAGATGCCATTAATCTCGCTAACATCGCCTTCGTATCCTCTAGATCCACCAAATTTGTGAGTTTTCAACGTAAAGTGACAATTTATCTACAAAATCCAAGTTCAATTGCCTATATATTTATGTTTTACTCGAGAATTATCAACTTGCAAGCTTTTCAGAAAATGCTTCAAATCTTATGGATTGTGAAGAAGGACTGCTTTAGTGCTTCATTTCATTTCAGCTTTGAGGTATCGGTTCGCCCATCTTCTGCTGAAATATTAGCTGATTTCATCATTCACAAGCAATGGAGAGAGATCATTCTGTTGACTGATGGAGAATTCTGTGAGTTAGATGCTGCGAGTTGCTTAATGGGGCCTTACTTAATGAGGTACGCTTTCAGCAGGAATTTCTCTTCCTTGGCTCTGGCATCATTTGCACAAAAAATCGAACCGGTCTACAAATGCTCAGCTCTTAGAGCTTCCAAGGGATCCGGAGAAGTTCAGCGAATTTTTGAGGCAATTCAATCTCGGTCATTCCAACTACACCAATAGGTAAAGCAATTTTATAAGCAAGAAAATTGTAAAGTTGTTTAAATACCTTTTTATTTAGAGATGTTGTGGGTCTTTTAAAATAGCAGAGTTTTTATAAGTTATACTCTGAGAGCATCTTGAATACTTTCGATCTTTCTGTAGATTTGATCTGAAAAGTTGTTTGATGGTCACTCAACACAACTTTGCAATCTAGCGTCTCTCTATAGAAATACTTTAGAATCACGGCAAGAGCCATTGATCCGAAACTGTACGGCAGACTTATGAAGTGCTGATCTCAGTAACTCACTTTTTTGAAGGAAACGTCTTACCGTCGAATTGTGGTAGATCCAATCATTTTCTCAAATTTTCTGAAATGTGTATTTTACAGCCAACAACAAATCCCCAGAACGTTAAGGTATTATGTATCATTAGTTGATAAGTCATAATGATTTC